AAGGAAAAAAAAAAATCTTACTGAGCCCAAACTTTTGAATGATAATGTATATATTTTTATAAAATGGGATGTGCATACAAAGACGTGCCACTCTAAAAAACACCTAGAAATTTCAAAATCACTTCACTAAATAGTAGAGGTAGTTGCTCTTTGTGTCGGGGAACATCCTGGCTTTTCTTGTTGAGATATGTAAGGTTAGGAATGACAAAGTGGCTGATTAAGAGTGTTTTTTATTTTATTTTCAGATATCGAGGCCTCAGGGATGATAAAGGACAGCCCACACAAGATTACTATCATCTGCTGGCCATTCGACTGAGTTTCGTCATTATATTTGAGGTGCACAGCCTAGTACTAGTTTGAGCAAACATCCCTTTTTTAACTTTGCATGTACATTTGTTCTGAAAATGGGCGCATGATGTTACTTCCTAAAACTAAAAACATTTAGTACAGTACATAAAATATACTTTACTATGAAATTACTACTAAAAGTAATATACAAAAGTTTAGTTTTTTAGTATATACTTTAAGAGTTTCCAGTATAAAGTGCCTTACGATAGATTTGATATAGATTATTATAAAATGAAGACCGCACACAATTTTAAACATCGATGCTGTTGTTGTTGTTGTTTTTTCAGCATGTTGTCCTCCTGATTGGTCGTATTATTGACTGGATGGTGCCAGATATTCCAGAGGAGGTGGAAATTAAGATCAAACGAGAGCATTACATGGCCAAAGAGGCACTGGCTGAAAATCAGGTGAGACAGAATATATTATATTATCATTAATAGCAATACCTATTATTCCAATCTAATAATTAAAGCATTTTTAAGTGTTGGACTGCTGTATATTTTTCTCTGTTTTCTTGCATATTGTCACTCATGTCGTTCTCTCCAGTCATTGAGTAGAACTGTTCTTGAAGAAATGGAGAGGCAAGTCTCTGAGCTGCGATACAGAGGAAGAACACAGAGTCCTAACGACATCTCGTCTCCCTCCAGTCCGTCTCCTGAACATGAAGACAAACCTACACTCTGATATTTGACTCTTTTTATAAACCATTCTACAATGTATAGATGCTTTTGTAAACAGTTGCTGTTGAAAAAACCAGCATATGCTGGTTAGGTATGTTTTGAC